GTTTTTGAATCCTAGAAATAGTGTATCTTGCAACACATTATCTAGACCGTCCATTTTTAAGATTTTCACATATTTATAAATTTGCTTGATTTTAAGCATTTTTGGAATTTAAAATTTTCTAATTAGATATGAAAATAGATTTTTGGGAAAATATTATAGATATACTTTAATTTAAGTTTAATTGGAAAAAAACTCAAACTTTCGTTTATCTCGTCTGCACCCTTTTTCTTTATTTTTGATTTTTTTTCTTTTAACCAAAATGACATTCACGGTAGTCATATTACCGTAATAGTTAGACCGTAATACTTAGAGAATTTTATATGGTATTTTAAGTACCGTAATACTGAGGGCATTTTATACGGTACTTTAAGTACTGTAAACTTACTCTGACCCTTATACGGCATTTTAAGTACAGTAAACACTAAACCATGTTATATAGAAAATCTTTTTTATATTTATCTATTTCATCTCTAATTTCTTTTATGTTGATATATTCTGTTCATATTTATCTATTTTAACTCTAATTTTTTTTAGATTTATCCATTCTTTCTTTCTAATTCTTTTTTATATTTATCTTTTTTTTCTCTCTCTCATTCTTTTTTATTTCTTCTTTCTCTCTCTGCAATCTTACTCTACGAGCCAATTTGGACACGGCCAAATATCCTAATTAAGGAGAGAAAAGATTTAGAGAGAGAAATAAGAGAAATATTAAAGAGAATAAGAGAGAACAATAATAGATAAACATAAAAATAGAGATGAAATAGATAAATATAATAAGGAGAAAGGGTTTTACAGCATTTTAAGTGCCGTATAATATGGGTTAATTTTTATTGTACTTAAAATGCCGTAAATTGGTTTTAGTTTTTACTTAAAATGCCGTAAATTGGTTTTAGTTTTTAATGTACTTACAATACCGTAATTGCCTTCATGGCTTCAGGAACCGTAATGCTAATTGAAGTTACTACGGTATTTTAAAGAGAAAGCTTTTTATGCTTCCCCTAAAGCATATAACTTCTATCATCTTCCATGTTTTTAACCCTTGATTTAAAATGAAGGGCAAAGATTAAATCACTTAAGTTGTCACAAAAAAAAGGTACGGGGTAGCCAGTACAAGAGAGAGAAAGGAAAAAAAGAGAGAAAGGAGTAACCATTTCCAATCTAGAGAGAGAGTTGGAGAAAAGGAGAACCAACCGTACAAGAGAGAGAAAGGAGTGACCATTTCCAATCTAGAGAGAGGGAAAGGAGTAACCATTTCCAATCTAGAGAGAGTTGGAGAAAAGGGAAACCAGAGAGAAAGCACGTAGGAGAAAAGGGAAGCAGTGAGGGCGCGCTTGATGTCGATGAAGAGAACCCAGTAGAGAGAGAACCAACTGCAAATGCATTTTCTTTGAATTTATCAACTCTTGATGTGGATGAAGAGAACCCAATAGAAAGAAACCCAAAAGCTCATCTTCTCTATGGAGTTTAAGAGAGAGACCAAAACCCACTCCATTTATGCGAAATCTCCCATTGTGAACAACCCAACTGCAAATGCCATTCCATTGTTGGGTCCGGTCCTTTGGAGATTTGAGAGCTCTGGGAAGCCATGCCCATTTCAAAGAATGCATCATTTGCTGGTACTCCTTCAACATTGGGGTTCTTCTCCTTAACAAATACCTTCTAAGCAACTACGGATTAAGGAGAAGAACCCCAATGTTGGAGGAGTGCCAACAAATGATGAGAGAAAAAATGAAGAAGGGCGTTCTTTGAAATGGGCATTGCTTCTCAGAGCTACAATTGAATGACATTTGCAGTTGGGTTATTCACATTGGGAGATTTCGCGGAGATGGAGTGCGTTTTGGTCTCTCTCTCAAACTCCACAAAGAATATGAGCTTTTGGGTCTCTCTATTGGGTTCTCTTAATGCACATCAAAAGTTAATATATTAAAAAAAAATGTATTTGCAGTTGGGTCTCTCTCCATTGGGTTATCTTCATCGACATCAAGTGCACACTCTCCCTTTTCTCGTGCGTTCTCTATCTCTGGTTTCCCTTTTCTCCAACTCTCTCTCTAGATTGGAAATGGTTACTCCGTTCTCTCTCTTATATGGGTGGTTTTCCTTTTCTCCAACTCTTTGTCTCTCTCGATTGGAAATGGTTACTCCTTTCTCTCTCTTGTACCGGCTAGGGTTATTGATTGAGCCCGTGCCTTTCTTTTGTGACAACTTAAGTGACTTAATCTTAGCCCTACATTTTAAATCAACGGTTAAAAACATAGGGGATGATAGAAGTTATATGTTGTAAGGGAAGCATAGGAAGCTTTTCCTATTTTAAATACCGTATAAAATGATACCTATTAAAGTATTATGGTATTTTAATTATCGTAATACTCCTTCAACTTATTACGGTATTTAAATTACCGTAATGTTCTTTACGGTAAAAAGACTACCGTTAAGGTTATTTTTGTAAATAAAAAATAAAAAATTGTGAAAAAAGTTGCAGGTGCGGTTTTAAAAAATTGAAGGTTTTTTTTTTTATTATAGTAAAATATAGGTATATTAACAATAATTTTTTTAGATTTTAAGATAATCCTAAGAATTTTTTACAATAAAATTACATGTTATGATAAATTTTGGATGTGAGCTTTAATTGGATTGTTTAAGGCAGTGTTCGCAAAACTAGCCGGTTAGATCGCTACAAGTGGGGTGGCGAGTCCGGTTACGACTGGTTTTACGTCACACCTTATAAGATGGCACTCTTCAACAAAAATCGGCACCAAAACCGGCCAGTTTGAGGTCGAACCAGCGATTTTTAGTATAAACCGACTGGTTTTTCCTAACCGGTCCGGTTTACCGTTTTAACGCCCGATATAACGACGTTTTCAATGCATCAAATAATGACCGTTATTTGATAATTGCCCGTTATTTTTCACAGAAAAAGATTTTGCAGTTTGGTTTTGTATATTTTTTGTTTTTTTCTGTCAATTGATGTTATACATCGGAAAGTTTCTATAAATCGTCGATTATTGAATCAAATTTCCAAAAACAAAGAGTTCTTGGCAAATGGAAATGGGGATTTTTGAAAATTAGAAAGTTCCGCCATTCTATCAAATGCAGCTTCAATACCTCATAGATTTTCATAAAAATAGAGGGCTTTGATTCATTGTTGAAGGATTCAACGTTCACATATTTCAAAATTTCCAAAACGATGAAGATTTGAGGTTTTTTAGGGCCCGAAGTACTGTTGCTCGAAGAATTGTTTTTTATTCAAACAAATTGATTTCTGATCGATCAATTGATCGATTTTTATCGAGTTGATCGCTGAAGTTTGATCATAAAGGCCTCATGTATCAAATAAACTAATTATTTTGATTTACTATTGATTAAATGTTTTTATATCGATTTTTTTTTGTTACTTTTTTCTCTTGAAATTTTCATGAAGTGAAAAATCCAATTTTTTTGAATAAAGATCTGAATATTGAATGAATCTTTATGAAATTTGGAGTATTTGAATCTTAATGAAAGCATTTATCATATCCCCATGTCAATTTGTTCAAAAAATGAAAGATTTGAGGTTGATTTTGACTCTAAAGTTTTTGCGTTCTTGGGCTCAATTTTAGGGTTCTTAATATATTTTTTTTTAATAAAATTACGTTTTGTTTTTATAAAAATATGTTATTTGTGATGAATATGAGAACAAAGAATATATATATATTTTTTAATTTTATATATTTTTGGTGAACTTTTTGGATCGTTTTTTATGTTATTTATGTTTTTTACAAAAAAAAAAATATATTTTATGAATATGAGAAAAATATATTTCCTTCCTTTTAATGTTATATACTTTTGTTGAGCTTGTTGGATTGGTTTTAATATTATATAATTTTTTTATAAAGATATATTTTTTTTGTGATGAATATGAGAAAAAAATTATTTCTTTTTAAGGTAATTTTTGGTGCATATTACTGTTGTCTTAGTTCTCAACTTCTTGTTTAGTTGTGACATTTTATTGTAATTTATTTTTTATTTGTTACAAGCTATCAATCATTTTTTACAACTTCATACTCCTTAAATCTGTTTATTAGCCTCTATGAAGAAAAGAGGTGGAAACTAAAAAGTGTTTTACTCATCTCTCATGTTTCTACATGCCTAAATGGATAAAAAAATAACTTTTTTATTTTATTTTATTAATATAAATTTTAATTCTACATTTTAATGTTGCCATCTTATATAATTTTTTTTATTTTTTCATGTTAAAACCTAACTCAAAAGGTTACTGACTAAATGAGGTTTGGCCATTTTAAAATCGATTTGGCCATTTGGAAATCGACTTGACCATATTTTTTTAAAATATGTGATTTTGCCATTTGAAACAACACTTAACACCTTGACCCACACCTTGGATTTGATAACCAAGTTACTGAGTAAATGAGGTGCTCTCTTACTACCTTGACTCGCAACCCTTCGAAAAATTGGGAACATTATGCTACAAAAACATACGCTCTAAAATCCAATTCTAAACCGTATTAAAGGGTTTTTTAACATTAAAACAACATTTTTCAACATCAACATTAAAACAATATAGAAACATATATTATTGCATCATCCATTGTTAGTTGGACTTTGTAACTTCATCAATTGAATTTATGTGAAATTATAAATTGTCTCGCATATTTCCTTAATATTCAAGTATTAAATTATATAAAAGTTGTTTCAAATTTTTTTTATAAGATAAATTTATATAATATGATAGTGTATACTTAATCTAAGATTTTTTATTATTTTAGGGGGTTTTGACCTATTTTTTCTTTCTAAAATTGACTTGACCGACTAATCCGATTAACCGCTCCTATTCGAACGATTCCCAGCCTAATGACCGATTAACCATTCCGATTCAATTTTGTGAACACTGGTTTAAGGTTGCAACCACATAGAAACCGCACCCTTTGCGTATCCTCACTCTCATTGCGCCTTCCTATCCATACTTTGATTCGGGTAAATACCATCCCATCAATATTTGCTTTCTCTCTCTAAAATAGCAATTTTTCTCTCTCTCTAGAACTCCAAAAGGAAAAGCGATATGAGTGCCCTGATTGAACATAACTGAATTTCATCACCCTCTTTGTTCTCTTCTCTGTCCTACCGCCCGCTTCCGTTTCCTTCGAACTCCCTACTCTTGCACAGTCTCTCTCTCTAGAGATCAGATTGTGACCTTCTGCCCAACCTCTGAGAGATTCCGATTCATCTCTTTCTCTCTCTTACCATGGCAGGGCCTCCTATTCCACATGAACAAGACCCATCTATCCGAATGAGTTGAAAGACCAGGAGCCATTAAAGCAAGGAGATCTTTAATGGAGGAAGAGAAGATCAGGTCAAGGAATGCGAATGCAACTGCGGGGTTTCCATTGGGCCAAAGACCTCCCCCCCCTTCTATCCTCGACCGCTTCAAGGCTTATCTTAGAGAGAGAGAGGAAGAAGAAGAGATGGGTGTTTCCAGTGAAGATGTTGTGGCTTTGTACATGGAGGAGCTCTCCGAACTCACCTTCAATTGCAAGCCCATCATCACAGAGCTAACCATTATTGCAGGGGAACAACAGGAATATGCGAAGGGGATTGTGGCTGCGATTTGTGTTCGCATAATCGAGGTAGTTTTTGATGTTCTCTTTTCGATTTTTAAGAATGGGGAATTGATATGAAATTGGGATACGAAGAGAGATTGGGAATTTCTATTTGCGTCTCTTTCTTTGTAATTTTTTTTGTTGGGTTTGTGTTCAATGGGTTTGTTTTGTTGTTTAGGGTTTTTGAATATTGGGTTTTGATGTTTAGTTTGTTCCACTGCCAGGAAGGCTGGGTTTCCCTATCTTTCTGTCTCTCTGTGGTTTTATGGGTTTTCGTAGCAATAAGTGTTCGCTTCTTGTGTCTTTCACTTTCTTTTTTATTCTCTTTGCTGATTTTTCGTCCTTTTACTTGTCTGGTTTGAGTATGGATTATTGGCAAGGTGGGTTTATGAGTGGACTGATTTATCTCTATAGTAGTCTTGGTATCAGAGTTACGTGGGGAACTTTCTCACTAATTGGTTTTCATATCTCCCTTTGTTTTAACTGAGCTATGAATTTTGAAGAATACAAAAGCACAAACTTAATCTCAAGCTGTATTAGGTTTTGTTGATTGTGGACCTAGGCAATTATTTGTATATTTCAAATATAGAAAAGTGCTTTTCTTACCTTTCTGTTTTTGCGTGGTTTACCTGATTTTTTATATGAAGTTGAGAACTTCTATAGAGCGATTGGCACCAGTGGTTATATTGAAAAAGAGAAAATTTTTCCTCTTTTTCCTTTATTTTATCGCTACCCCTCTGTGGCTTCTTTCTTTTTCATTTTCCTCAATTATTGATAGGATCATTAGTTCCAAGTATTTTTTAGATCTCACATTGTCGGTCAATGACTATTTGACCATGGATCATGGTTGCTGTAGACTTCATTTTAGAATTTCTTGGCAATATTTTGGTATCAAATTTCATGAACATGACTATAGTAAGCCAATTAATCTCAAGTTAAGGAAAAAATTTAAAAAAATAGAACTCATGATAGCTGGGTGACTTCGGGAATTTTGTCACAACTAATTTAGTCTGACTGATAGTAACTGTGACACACAAAACATGAAATTGCTGCTATGATCTAGCATGTAAATGGGCTTCTCCTTCCCTCAAACGTTACATGAACAAAGGAACAAGGAAATAGTGACCTGTGAGAGTTGAAGGCTTCCAAGGCAGGCTGGGCTGGGAAAATTCAGGTGCCTTCTCATTGTTCATTTCAAACATCTTAAGGGTCACGTTCCAACTTGTAGTAGACTTAGATCTCGTCTTTGTTTTTCTGACATTTAAGAAACTTAAAACTTCAATAATCCTCAATGGTGGTGGTAATGTTCCAGGATTGTTAACTTTCTTCCTTGTCATCAATAATGTTGTTGTCGTATTTGGGCACCTGCAGCCAGAATTGTGAATGTATACATTCAAAATCTGGAGTGATTTCATAGAATTGGAAAGGTGACTACTAAGACACTGAGTATGAAGGCACTCTTGAGGATAAATAGTGCTTGTCTATACACTGTTATGATGTTCTCTGGTTGCCTCTGTTGCCATTTTAGCTTTTGTCTTTGGCCACAACCTTCTATGGTTTACTGACCTAAAGTTTCTCTAGTTTGTCTGGCGAACACACTTCTCTTATAGTCAAAAGCTCTTTGGCTCCATGGAGTAATTGATAAAATCTTTATGTAACTCAAAATGATTGTTGAATAATGTGAAGTGAGTTGTACTAGTAATTGGCAAACATCAAAGTTCATTTTTCCAATTGAATTAAAGTTATTAAAACATTAAAAAAAAGAAAGTTATTAATGATTGAATATTTGAAGAAAAATGAAAGTTTTGGGAAAACTTGTTGTTTTATGAATGATAGAGGACATCGGTAAAAAAATAAAAAAAAATATTTGAAAAAATTAGAAGTTTTGGGAAAACCTGTTGTTTTATGAATGATAAAAGAATGAAGGGACATTGGTAAAAAAAAAAAAAAAACAAACCTTTCATTATTTTTATTCACAAAAAATTGAAGGGACCTTGATTGTGCTTCATTTTATAACAGTCAATGTTTATCATTATTCCTCTTGCACAATTGTGTACTTCCCCATTGATGTTCATAGCCTAATACTAAATGGACAACCTACCGTTATTTCATAGTAAATTCTGGAGCAGAGGCACTGTTCACCATGAAGGTTTTTAAGGGCACTATTACATGTTGATGATGGCTAGGGATTTAGAACCTTTATAAGTCATATCTAGATTAAAATTACTATCTAACCACTTTCTGTCTCTCGCTCATACTCATACTCATGCATTTATTCTAGTGAGGAATGCGAAAGACACTATTATGCTTGATACTCATTTTTTTTCTGTTTGATGGTCAACTGTTTTTCGTTGAATCACCCTGAATGTACAAGAATAATGCCTATACAAAATTTTTCCCTTAACAAAATAGGGTTTCTACACAATAAAATTAGAAATCACAGGGGTTGATCTATTTTTTTTTGTTTTGAGAAAGGAAACTGTCAAACTAATTTATAAGTTTATCACAAGGGATGATTTATGATCCCGTCCTTTGCTGAAGCGTCTGCCACGTTGTTTGTCTCTCTCCATGATTGCTGAAAGGAAGCCTAAGATTGTTGGCACTCAGAATTCATCTTTCATGAGAGGATGTAGGTGCCGTGCATCTCAAGAATATCACAGGGATTAAAAAGGTTTATCAGAATAAAAAAAAAAATGGACACATTACACATATGAGTGTTTGGGAGAAATTATTAAAATTTGGAAAAAAATTGTTAGATTTTTGTCTGTTAAAAAAAAATGATCAATAAAGAATTGTTTTGAAATTATTTGAATTTTTTATATGCAACAAAGAAAAACTAATGTGTCATATGCCTGTTGGCAAATGACTAGCATGCACTTAATGGATTAGTGAAGACTTTAGATGTAAAGGGGCTCTATTGAATTTTTTGTTGTGTAGGTATATATGTCAAACAAATGTGACACGAGGCATTCATATTCTGCCCTGGGAAACTGCATGCTCTTAGTCAAGTGTATACATTTTATTCAACTTCTAAGGACTTAAACTAATTGCCATTTGTTCACTCCATGGTGGTGTAATGTTGCCTTGTCAAAATGTTGTACTAACTGTCTTGTTTCAGTTCGTTCTGCAAGGTGGGGCTGCTAAGCTTGCAACTAGTGTTCAAGAACTTGGTAGCTCGGGCTCGGGCTCGGGCTTGGAATCACCCGACTTACTCGGATCCGGCAGGGTGTCAGGGCCTGTTCCAAAACGTCAAAACCTGCTTGAGTCTCACCATGTCCTGGATCCCTCTGTTATTTTCACAGAGTAGCCCGAGTCTTGGTGAGACTGGGCCAAGTCGGAACGCTGACTTGGGTTCTGGACCCTAGTGTCTTCGAGCCTAAGTCCATGTTTTCAAACAAAACAAACACACCTTAAACCTCTGGAACTTTGAAATGCTTTTGTTGTGTTATTGTATTTACACTGTATGCAACATATGGCTATCACCTATTCAGTAAATTGATTGGCTTATCTTGTCTAAGGGATACACCAGAGAATTTTGTATTATGTAAACGTGTCAATGTGAGATCTGTGTTTAGAAAGGTAACATTTCTTGATATGTTGATTTGTGATGGATTATACGACTCGTGGCCATATGTATGTATCTTCATTCTCTGTGGAATTGAAAAGTTGATTATTAGCAGTGTCCGTTGGAGAAGCTTTTGCATTGGATATTTGTTTTGCTTGCATAATGAGGCTCGTTTTATTTTTCAAGCTAACTTGATACGCAGGTTTGTTGTATTGTAGGTTCCAGCTGAGCAGAAACTTCCTTCATTATATCTTCTTGATAGCATTGTGAAGAATATTGGTGGGGAGTACGTGAACTATTTCTCTCTACGTCTTCCAGACGTAAGTCTTTACATCTTCTTAATATGTAGTGGTGTTCTCTGATTTTACAATTTAAATTTTATGTGATTTGGTTAAATTGCTATTGGGAAAAATTTGTCATAAATAGGGCATTAAGGTTTGAAATTTCAAATCTTTGATCCAAAATTAGGCTCAGATTCAAATTTTATGAGAAAGGGAAATGGTGTTCATTTGGGATTTATATAGGCTTTTAAGTCCACAGCCTGTCTTTTTTTTTGAAACTGGTTAACTTGGTTGAATAAAAAGCGATAGATTATACAGCCTATGTCATGCATGGGTGCAACCAACTCGAAGAGCAAGTATCCCATCAGAGTATGAACCTGATAGTTCCATTAAAAGAAAAGTTTCTACTTAAATAGGAATGCAATATCTCCCATTAGATCTGGAGAGATTAATCATAATTTATGGTCTCAAGACTCGAACATCTCATATTAAAGTGGAACTCTCACAAAAATGACATTCCTATATGGTACAGGAAATTTTGGAGTGAAATTTTTCATCTTGATTGGCACTGTGAATATTTGCCAAACTTTGACTGGCCATTATGACTGGTGAATATATGCTCTTAAGGCTTCGTATATAATAGTAGATTTGAAAGAAGTGCCATTCTCTCTCTGTCTCTCTCTTCATTTGGTGCTGCAGCCCCCTGGGGGGGGGCGTAAACGTGAAGGAGGGTTTAACTGGGGAAGCAGTGTCTTTTTTTTTTATTTGCTTTTTTCATTTTTTTAATGTGTTTTATATTTTGGCTTGTTTCAGCTGTAATTTAGATCAATGCCCATGATATTTTGGTAAATGTGGGGTTATAATTTCCAAAATTTGTATGTTGACTTCTCAAGACCATTATTGTTCAAGCTGGGGGCTGATTCAGAATCTTGGATAAAATTCATTGAACGACCTCATAGAACTTGAACAATCTTGTACATTTGAAAATTATGTGTAGTACGAGCTTGATAGTTTTCTCTTACATATCTGTTTGGAATAGTAAGTACTTTTTTTATTTGTAACAGGTATTTTGCAAGGCATATAGGCAAGTTGATCCTGGTCAGTATCAAGCCATGCGCCACCTTTTTGGTACATGGACAGGAATATTTCCATCTTCTGTGCTTCGTGCTATTGAGGTGGAATTGCAATTCTCTCCTGTGCGGCGTCCATCGTCTGGCATGGCACCATCTAGACCATCCGATTCCCAGCCTCCACGCCCTGCCCATGGTATTCATGTCAACCCAAAATATTTGGAGGCACGGCGCCAATTTGAAAACCCCAATGTAATTCTTGTGAATTCCATTTGGAATTCTATTCAATTCAATTGTTTTCTACCAATAATTCAAAGTATAGAATGATAATATGGTTATGTTCCGTGTTCTTTTCTTCTAATATTGTGTTGCAAGTCAGGAAAAATCAGGAAAATGCCAGGAACACCTGCTAGATTGTGCAAGGGTATCATGACTGTATCTGGGCTTTCTTTCTTAGATAATTTGTTTACCCCCAGTTCGACGTTTAAAATAAAACAAATAAAGCCAAATGGTAAATTGACTTCGTGAGAGAAAACTAGTCAGCCGAGAAAGTGATGTATGTCCTGGAATGCATGTTTCTGGCACATATGCATGATCTACTGGGTGTTTCTTTTCTGATATTTTCTCAGAAATTAATTACCATCTCCATCTGGATAATTGATATATAAATATGATTTCAGTGTTTGTTACTGTTTTTAAGTGGTACTAATCAATGCTTGCAGGTAATTAAAAGAGAGCGTGAGAATAATTTGCATATGACAGCTTTTGAAGGAGAACGGATGGAGAGGGTTGCTTTAGAGAGTCCAGAAGGATGGTCTGGAGCTTCTCCAAGATTACATGTGTGCAAAATTTCCAGTCTTTTTTTTTTTTCTTTTTTTTTTCATATAATTCCTAGATTGTAACCTCATTGTGAGGAACACTGTTTTTCTTAGTGGATTTTATAAATTATCAAAAGAAAAGGTGGTGTTGCCCTTAGCTTTAACATTTATGCCCTTATTCTTATTTCTTGATTCTTGAACCTAAAAATCCATACACGACGAACCTGGGTTTGTTAGGTTTTCATGCTTTGATGTGAAAGTTCGTGATCTTGCTTGCATTAACCAATTAAAGAACTTTGCTGGTGTTTTAAATTCACGATTCCTCGGCTTTAACTTCCAAGATTGGGTTATATGAGTTGAATGATACTGGGGTTTAGGGGTTCATGATCCACACTCCGGATTCAATGTTGAATAATAGTCCTCGAAGTAGAAATGCTTTCCATTTTCTGTCTATTTATTTAGAACTAAGCTATTGCTGGAACCTAAAAACAAATATCCAATTAGTGAAAATTCGGCTTTAGCATGTATCCATTCAAAATGAGGACTTGTCATGTAATTTCCTATCTTTTAGGTGCAATAGCATGCTTTGTTTTTTTAATAGAATTGTCTTTAAATTTTCTTCGCTAACATATGCATTTCTTGTGAATTTATATGTCAACTTTGCAGACTAATCAACAGGCAAGAGGAGTGGTTTCAAGCATCCCAATATATGGAAGAAAACCTGCAAGTTACGGTGATATAGACTTGGACCACAATCAGGGGCTTTCCCCAGGAAGAGTTGGAGTTGTGTCTGCAAGAGTTCCTTCAGGAAATCTATCTTCGTCGATAGCTGCACCTGAAAACAAGATTTTAAAACCTTTATCTCCTTCAATAAGTGGGTCTGAAACGCCTTCATCACCTTCAGAGGGTGCATTTATGAGGGAAATATCTCCTGCAAGAGTAGGACATCAAAAGGCTTCCCCATCTCGTGTGGGGTTTGGAATGGGCAGAGTGGATGAAAAGCTTGGGGAGAGGAGTGATCAGTGGGAAAGGCGCTGGGTTGATGATAGTGGGGCTCACCAAATGGAAACTACTTCTAGTCCAAGCCGAGTTTACATCCAAAACAATGGACCTGATCCAAGAGCATTGATTGATGCATATGGAAATTACAGAGGAAAAGGTGTTATGCTTGAGAAGCTCCCAATAATTGCACCAGGGCCCAAGGTGAATGGCTTCAGCAATATAACCACTGCAACAAATTGGCAGAATGCTGAAGAAGAAGAGTATGTTTGGGAGGATATGAGCCCTACCTTGTCCAATCATAAGAAGAGCAATGATCATGCGGGTCTGGATTCTTCTGTTGGGGGCTTTGATTTGAACTCGGCTTTAGGGAAAAGAAAGGCTGGTTTTCTTGAATCTGACATCTCTGGGAACAACTGGAGTAATCGTGATCCTGCTTCCTTAAATTTTGAAGATAGGACATCCATTGTATGCACTGATCTCCTTTCTTCAATTCTGCCATACTTCTTTGGCTTATGTTCTTGGTCTTTTTTCCTATTCTCTATTTCCTAGTTTCCTCTCCCCTCCCCTGATATTTCATGATTCTCTGTTTGGATGGCTTTTGAAAACCTCAATATATGTAGTTTTGCCTAGGTTTTTTCTTATTTTCAGTATTTAATATGCAGGAAACTAGTGAATGAGAGGCTATAATAACGTGGTGATTCTACTTGCTCGTGTCCCAAGGGAACTGGACTTGGTTGAATTAGTTGTCTTGAGTTGTTTCTTTCTATATTTACAATTTTTTTTTCTTCATTCTTCTTGAAATTACCAAACCAATTGCATCTTTTTAATAATGATGGAAATATCTGAATTTTTTCCTGATTCTCGTATTCACTAGTAGAGGGTTGAAAACTCAGTTCCTATATGCATATTTTTAAACATGTTCTACCAACAAACCTGTGGGAGAATGACTTGCATTTTTCTCTGATACATGTTACTAAAGTTGCTTAGTGGAGAGTGTATTTGATGCATGTTTGTTAATCTTGGAATAAGTGAAAAGGGTATATCTTGGTGAAAAATTTACCTTTTTTTTTTTTTTTTAATGATAATTGCAAAATCTTTTTTTTATTCAGAAAATGCAGTGTTCAATAATTTGCGAACTCCAGTTAGCCAGTTTCAAAAAAAAATAATTTGTGAACTCCAACTCATACTCGGCAGCCTGCATAGTCCGAGAGGCCCCCAATGAGCTGTAACAGATTTGGCCTGAGTCACTGTAGCAACTTGCCCAAGTACCTGATGGACTCGGATGAGTTCCATGTACTCGATCAAGTCCACTGGAATCACCAAGTCCGTGACTTTCTTGATATAAATAGTCCCCCCTGGGGAAGAGAAACTGGGGGGGTGGGGGGTTGTGTTGGGGCTTGCACCTCTGATTCTCCTTTCTTCTATTTTCTTCCTCACTTGAGCTTTGATCTCTCCAAAACTTCACTCCTTTGGCGTTTTTTTCCAACCCATTTCAAATCCAGATATGAGATTCAGCAATATCAGAAAACTCATATTCGCAAGATTTTTTTTTTTTGAGCTAGGATTTGGTCAAAGTTGTTTCTCGTGAGATTTTCGCCACCCTTGCTCTCTATCCGCCCTTAAAATTCTTTCCTAAACGTATTCTTGTGTCATATATCAAATCCGAGGCTTAGATTCCACAAAGAATAAAACACTGAAAAATCAGATTTACAAGATTTTGTATATCTAAATTAGGTTTGGCCGAAATTTCAAGAGCTTGGAGTTTATTATAAAATAACTGAATGTTATGTTAGATTATCATATAATTTGATTGAGTGCATGCAAGTAAAATTAACTTTTCATCATTTTTCATTTTGTATATAATTTTTTGTAAGTTTTCATTTTTTCCCCTTTTTTTGCGTGAATTTTCCTAAAGTTTTTGGGATTCTTTGGGTCCTTCTTGGGGGACTTGGCAAGTCCACTCAGGACTTGCTTAGTCGACTTGCCCTGGGCTTAGAAATGGATCCCTATGTTTTAAAAGTTCAAAACCTGCCCCTGGCAATTTTGGATTCCTGTCCTTCCCCGAATTTGACGTATATGATGCCTTTGATTTGTGTAGTCCTTGTACGAAGCAATGGTGCTTTGCTGAGATATTAAAAAGAGTAAGGCTAAATGTTGCGAACTGATAACTTCCTGATAAGTTGTTGATGATAGATATTGGATATAATTGCCGTGGGTTTTTTGCAGCGAAGTCGTGGATTCATTGGTAGGAGGTATCCAGTGGGCATAGGGACTCAAAATGAGTCACGATCTCTATTTCCGGCATCTCAGGCTATTCAAGAACGTGGAAACTTGCCACACCATTTCCCTCACCCTCCCATTCAGTACCTTAACCCAAGGTCTCGGGTAAATGACCTTCCAGTGCCAGTTTCATCAAGTGGCATTGCTCTGATTGGCTGTCAACCATTACCTTCTTATGTTCTGGATGCAAAAGCACAGACACATGGGGGAGCCTCTAGTTTTCCAGTTTCTTCATACCCTGAATCTTTGAATTTAGAGGTTCTCTCCCCTGCAAGACCAGTGCCACCAAGTTCTTTCTCTATTCAAAATAACAAACCGCAAGGATCACCTTCACCATCTATTGGACATATGGTATGGGCATCTGCAAATGACCCACTTCTGCCAACTTCAGTTTCTGTCATTCCTCAACAAAAACAGTTGAAACACCATATGGATATGTCTGATGTCAAGAAACTAAATCAGATGTCAACGCAATCTTTGCTTTCGTCTCGTAATCAACTAAAAGGGCTAAATAAAACACAAATTCTGCCTGGTTTAAGATCATTGGATCAAACAACACTTGAGCAAGCCACTCCTATGCTACCTCAATCACATCAATCACAGGGAATCCAAGAAATCTTGGTTGGGTCGACCCCATCTATATCTCAGTTATTAGGTCAAAACCTACATCGTGGAAGTGTGAGAGGACAAGGAGGTGGGTTATTGGCAAATCCATTACCTGGCATACCCGCTTTATCCAGCATCTCAAATACATCCTTGTTGAGGAAAGTTCCACAACCTCCCCTTCCTCTGGGCCCCCCACCAGGTTCATCACAGACTGGTCTTCTAACTCAAAATACGGCTTCTCTTATGGGTCCTCCACCAGGGAACCATCTTTCTGGGCTCTTTAAATCTCTTATGGATCAAGGTCTGATCTCATTGACAAACCAAAGTGCGGTGCAGGTAAGGTCATCCATGCTAAACCCAATTCCTCACTTTTTATTTGATAATTTGTTGAATCCTACTTGCTAGATGGTTTTTACCAATTAAAAGAGAGAATCAATTTCTATTTTGGTGGTAGATACTTGCGGTCATTAATTAAATTCCAGTCCCTGCCTGAGCTAAACGTTCGAAAGCTGATATTTGTTTGTAGCCTGTTATACCTTTAGTTTTTTGTCTAATTGGTCGAAATTTAGAGAATTAGTTCCTGTTTTCTAATACATTTTCTGCTTTCTTTTCTTGTCAGTGGTAAAGTACAAAATCAGTTGAAATTTGAGTTCTTTTTTAGTTTTTCTTGTTCAAGAATGCTTTCTTCATAATAGATTCAGTCGAACTTATTCCTATACCCAAAATTCCCAACCTTTTGATGATGTAATATAAGGATGCTCTGACTTGATTTTTCAGGGTTCCATAGGCTTGGATTTCAATGCTGAGCAACTCAAGGTGCGCCATGAGTCAGTCATCAACGCTTTGTATACGGACATGTGGAGACAATGTGCAACATGTGGGCTTCGTTTTAACTCCCAAGAAGAGCACTGCATTCATATGGATTGGCATGTCACTAAAAATCGCATGTCTAAGAATCGCAAACAAAATCCATCTAGAAAATGGTTTGTGAGTGCTAAGGAGTGGCTCAGTGGTACAGAGACATTGGGTTCTGAACCTGTTCCTGGGTTTTTACCTGTGGAAACAGTACCTGAAAAAAAAGAAGATGAGGAAATGGCTGTTCCTGCCGATGAAAACCAGAGTGTTTGTGCATTGTGTGGGGAACCCTTTGATGATTTCTACAGTGATGAAACTGAGGAATGGATGTATAAAGGTGCCGTCTACTTGAATGCTCCAGCAGGATCCATTGAAGGCATGGACAAGTCTCAGTTGGGTCCTATTGTGCATGCTAAGTGCAGGTCTGAGTCAACAACTGGTCATGAAGATTTTGAAGGAGCTGACGTGGTGAGTTACTTGATAATTAATTGCTATTGTTTCGTATTGGACTTTTTATTTGATTTTTGCCATTAAGGCTCGTTTTTTTTTTTCAAACATTAAAGTAACAGTGTCATTCCTAGCTATCATTTTATTCAACCGTGAAGTCTGTTTATTTTCATTTTGTCTTTAGTTCATTATCAATTCTTATTTGTTGCCTCGCTTTTTTTTTTCTCTCTTTTCTTTTGCCTAAATGTGGAAGACTTTACTGATGTATTGAACTTGCATTCTGTTGAGGTATGTTCATAGGGCTATATTTATGTTTGGGAGTATCTTTCTTGTCCTTTTTTTTTTTGAATAAAGGAGTCACTTTCTTGTCCTTACTGATGCATTAAACGTGTGGTAATTTTGTTGAGGCATGTATATGCAGCTGGTAGTTATGTTGGGTATCTTCCTAGTCCTCTTTGTAAGTGTCTAAGAACCAAGAAATATCTAGTTTCTTGTTATTAAGAGTTAAGCCTTGCTGCTTCTAATAACCTTCATTGATGTTAGAAGATAAGTCCTTGTATGATAGAACTCGGAAATTAGCACCATGAGACATGAGTGTGTGTGGAGGCGCTGCCAGTGAATGCTTTTCATTTAAGCAATGAGTGTCCAAAAATTAATTTTTATATATTATATGTTCTTGTCATGTGGTCTGATTGAGGGTATGGACCTTGATAGGTAATGGGGGAACATGATTCATGTAGCCAACCCCAAATGGTTGGGATAAGGCTCGGATGATGATAATGATGATGAGATGTTCCTGTCGTGCTGTCGGCAACGTCAGTTAGGTGGACATAAGCGCATAAAGTCTTCTACTCACCCAGTTCAAATTCTAGTTTAATTGGATTTCGAAAATGTTGATGATTATGAACTTCCTTTTTGGGCCATTATGGCCCATACATTATCTTGAACAACCAAACACAAGAGTTCAGAATCTCTTTTTGTTTTAACTTATACAATATTTCTGCTATGCATCTCGCTATCCTTCACTGCATATATGTTCTGGAGTTCTTAAGTCTGCAATATGAAAATTAGTGACCTTGTGGACTAATTTTAAAATTGAGGCATCAACATCTAATGGGCATCTCTTGAGACATCTGTATATCAACTCCGTCAAGCAAAAAATTAGAAGGCCAAATACCCAAAGAAAACCCCTGTACAAAACTGTTGTATTATAAAAAAAAAAAACAATATATCAAGTAATCATGCAAGAAGTCCACCAAAAATAAAAAATCTAAACATTAAAATTTAAAATAAAACACAAACCTTAATTTTCTCAAACCCTGCACCAAAAATCCTTTTTTTTTGTACCTTAAAGGCCAAAACCCAACAAGGAATACCTTTACAAACTCATCACATTATGAAGTAAACAATCAAATAATTAGATAAGGGAAAGTATATAATGAGACTATTTACCTTTGGTACAAGGTGGTCACAATTGATCTTGACCACTAGATGTGATATTGGGTGGCTGCAGTTATTTTATTGACCAAGCCCAAAGTCCAAAAGAAATTTTCTCGAACTTTGTGACACATCCAAGCTATCAGATTTCCCATTGGATAGTTGTAAGTAATTGTGACCTTGATGTATGAAAGGTAAATGATCTCATTGTATACAATCACATCAGATAATCATACAAGAAGCCCCTTTTGAAAAAAATTTATTTGCATTTTCTTTCAAATCCATACAGACAAACCAACGTTTGGATTCAACCAAAAGAAAAGATATGAAGGTTACTTACTCAAATCACTCCCAAAGAATGGACATCTGGTGACTGGAAGAATTGCTAAAATCCAACGCCTATTTAAGTTTTGTTGTAGAGATAGAGACAAATAATATTCTTTAAAGGGTGAGGTTTGTATAGAGCCTAGGCTCTAAACAATCAAATTAGAGCCTACCTTCAAATAGTGTTGAGAAATATAGTTTTAATACTGAAAATATTTGTGATAGTTTTAAAATATATTTTCATCTTTATTTATACAGTTTAAAGCTTCAAAAAAATAGTGTAGATCGATAGATCTATGAAAACTTGAAAATTGACGGTTCAAAAATGCGTTATAAAATACACAATGTCCAAAATGAAATCCATTTTTTTCTCATGTCCATGCATCTAGATGTTGAGATTATCAATTTGTGGATATTCGGGCATGAAAACAACCACTTCTAATGAAAATTTTGAGGTTGGCTCAAATTTGATTGTTTAGAGCCTCGGCTCTATATAAACTTTTCCCTTCTTTAAAAGGACCTCGCATATTCTTTTTTTTTTTTTTTTTTTAATTTCTTGGTTTTAGATTATCAAATCTTACCCAACCAAAAAGCGTTTAAAAATATCTGGAAGGACAAAAAAATCATCTGGCTGAATCCATCCTTAATGACAAGAAAAAACATAAAAATAATCATTTTAGCCTGGAAACACTATGGCATCTCGAATGGTTGAAGCAGTCAAACAGCCTGCCCATCCTGATTGAACTGGATATTTTGAGGTTGGATCTTTTCTGTGGTGATAGTGGTTTAGAACCCCTGGTTCGACCACTGATGGCCACCAATTCCCTGCCTGATCTGTTTGACTCACCGCCCTGGTCCGGTCCTGATAACATTGGTTTGCATGTCCAAGTTTTAGACAGAACCAAACTATAATGCCTTACTTTATCTGACATGATGGTACTCTTATTTTATAGCGGTTAATTGTATTGTTTCATTCAATCTTTACCTTGTGGAGCCTTATGGGCTTAGAATTTGATATACACTCATGATGTTCTCCATGTAGGTTAATCAGCATAATTAACATGATTGTTAATTTTTCGTTGATGAATAGTACTCTAGTAGTATCCCTTTTATTAGAATTTTATCGCTTTTGGCTCTTAAAAGAAACGGAGTTATGACATTGTATTCCTTGTGGAGCCTAATGGAATGATTTTGATGAACTCGTGCTCACCATGTAGGTTCCTTTTTTGATTAAGATCAGCGTAATTGACCTGGACTTTTCTTTTTCATCAGTGATTAGTAGTACTCCTTTATGGGAATTGCATTCCATTTATCTCTTTATAGAAAATTATAAATAGATTACAGTACTGATGGCCCTGATATCCTTCGGCATGTTTTCCTATTGGGACTGTCTATGGAGAGAAGCTAATTATCGATGCATCTATGAAAATATATCTAATCTAATTGCTGAGAATTATTGGTCTGCTTGCTCAGTGAAAGTTTCTCCCAAAGTTGTCTAAGTCATTATTAATGAGAAAGTTGCCTATTGTAAACTCTTTAGCTTGCAGCCACCTCATTGTTTAAAGTTACAAAGCCAACTAAACCTGAAATCTAGTTATATCTTTTACTTTCATGATAGTGGGGTCTTTTGAATTATGGTTGGCAGCTCCTAGCAGATGTTTCCCCTAAACGAGGTGGTTGAAGTCATTTTTGAAATAGCATTGAGAGGAGACTACTTTGATTATGAAAGGAAAGTAGGGTAAACGGTGTGGTTCCTGCTCTCCCAAATTTATTAGCCATATAGACCCTCAGGTTCACCCAAGCCCTATGGAGCTCTTCCCATGGAAATTTGTTTGCCTAAAACCCCCTTCTTTTCCTTTTTTGGTATGCAAAATTTACCTAATTTAATCAAGAAAACCCAATTTGGTCCAAGCTAAACATAAAACTATTTCTTAGCCTGTTCTCTCTCTTCTCTCTCTCTCTCTTATTGTTTTCCTTCCATTGTACATATTTTATTAAATTTTCTTATATGTCTGATCAAATAATGGTACAACAAATTTTAAATGTGCTGTTGCAAATGAACTTCACATTCCTTTCAAAAGGTTTTGAATGAAGAATCCTCAAGGAAAGTAACTCTGAGCTGATTTGAAGAATGAGGAACCACACTAAGAACCTCTGTTATACGTCAATTAACAAGAAGAACATTAAGCCAAATATTGCAGGAACAATTCAATAGGTTAAAAGATTGGATGAAACATTTTTTCAGATCCCAAGTTTTGATGTTTGTGCCCAAAAATATACGAAAGGCAAAAGTTTGAACTTCAAACTTTTCTAATTTTGTTACTCAAACCATGACTTCGTGCAGAAGACAGAAGAAACAAGTCACTTTAAAAACATATAAGAATTAGGGAGGCAGATAGAGATAGACTTAGAGACAGAAACAGAGGATGTGGGCTAAAAGGGTCCCAAAACTTGCATTATCCATTTTTAGCATACAAACAAGTCATCAAAAGAGTTCAAAAGAATGGGGGTTCAACAAAGAGCTTCAAAAACACTAATCCTGATTCAATACCATGACATAGGTACTCCATTAATGCGAAATATTATCTGAAAAAATTCCTTCACTTATTTGGAGAGAGGAGAAAGAAAGTGAAGCATATTGACAAAGCAATGAACATAAGAAGGTATATTTGATGAATCTTCGAACTATTGACCTTATTGAAGTTTAGGAAAGGAAAAACAAGAGAGTAGAGGGAGAAAGGGTGAAGTAACATAGAGAAGATAGGTTATTAAGTTGGACTAAATTGAGTTCTCTTGATTAAATAGGGTCAAAATCGTAATTTTCGCATGCCAAAAAGAAGCGAGGGTTTTAGGCAAAAAATTCCTATGAGAGGGGTTCCATGGGGTTTTGGTGAACCCAAGGGTATAGACGAAAATTTGGGAGAAGGGGGGCCGCCTTATTTTCCTCAAAAAGTATAGTTAACTAAGTCGTTGTCATTATCATCATCTGAGCCTTATCCCAACTATTTGGGGTCGGCCACATAAATCTTGTTTCGCCATTCTGCTCAATCAAGGGCCATACATACCCTCAGTCATACCATATCTCTTTTTACTATTTCATCGATGTACTTTTGGGCCTTCCCCTTGCTCTTTAGAGCTTTCCACTTGAACAAAATAACCCCTCCTAGCTGGTATTGTATTAGGTCTATGCTGCACATGGTCAACCCACCTGAGTCTATTTTCCCTCATCTTATCGCCTATTGGAGCCACCCCTAAGTTCT